GGGGGGGGGGGGGGTACAGTCGAGTTCCTTGTTCTGGTTTTACATATTTTAAATTAAATTGTTGAAGCATGAGAAATCTGAAACCTTCAAGTATAAACGTATATCACCTTAAACAGACATGCGTAACACATTCAAGCAGCTAGATATATTTTGCGTATCTTATGATATAAACAATTGTGTGAAGGGAGCATGATGTTTTGCCCCCCACCCCACCCCCTTCCAAAGAGAATGGTAATCAAACCAAAAGAATCGTTTTTAAAAGTGAAACATAGTTTTTTTTTAACATCTTAATTATGTTTTTAAATTACATAGTCTTTAGTTTTTCCTGGATTGGATAAATAAACTAAGATATCAATGCCCGATGAACAACGGTACCCTTACAACTTTTATCCCAATTATCAGCAATGTGGAAGATATTATCGTTTTTAAAAAATCATAAATAGATATCTAGCTCATACTTAAGCAGCCAAAGCTTTAAATCGAGTACCAGTGTGAATCGGGCATTGTAATCTTTCCTTGGATCGGAGGGTCACTTACAATTACGCTTATTCTTCCTTTAAATCTAATTTTAAATTATAATGGTCACCTTACAAATAGAGCAGCCTAGACCCTGGTTTCCTTGAAGAGATATTTGAACCAGCTCCTCCTCTTCCTCATCCTCCAGCACTTCCTTACTCCTCATCTTACTTTCACTCTTCATTTTACTCCTGATCGTACTTTCACTCATTACTCCACTCCTGTTCGTACTGTCACTCCTTCCCCCACTCCTGTTTGTACTCCCACTCCTACTCCTACTCCTGCTTTCCTGAATAAGAGTCTGTGTTTTTGAAAGTTTCGTCTTCTGTTCCGGAGAGTCGTCCATCTTTATTCCTTCGTCTGTTTCCTCCTTGCTTCCAACCCCATCCTACAAAAAGATTGATTAATTGTCAAAAAACGACTATAATATGATTTTTTCAGAAAGCACAAAAAAATGGCAAAGATAAAAAAGCAAAAAAAATTGCATAATAAAATGTTCAACAGGATTTCAGCAAAAAGACAACAATTAGAATAAAAAAATAAAATGAACCTTGCTAATGATGTGCAGTTTTGTTTTAAAAAAATACAAAAATTGTTTTAAATGACATTTATTGTGGTTTTATTATTAGTTTGGTCAGTTTTAGGTAACATAGATAAATTTTAAGACGCTTTGTTTTATAAAATACAGCGATACCCACAAAGGATGAGACTTCAGAGATGACTGTATGGAATTTTTTACTAACTGTTACCTTAAAAATCCATTTAAGCCATTTAAAGACCACATTCAAGACAGAAGTCATAATTTAAACTTGAAGAGTTTCAAATCGTCTTTACAGTCTCATCCTTTGTGGTTAACCCTGTATGTTTGGACTCTCTGTACAAGAAATAATATATACAGCAGTACATAAAATGCATGTGTATTGTGTTATTTGTGTACTGTTCTCACAACCCTGAACCTTAAATACGAGAAGAGTGCATGAATATCCTACCTATTCTATAGATATATTGGTCTGTGTGTATCCTACCTATTCTATAGATACATTGTTCTATGTGCATCCAACCTATTCTATAAATACATTGTTCTATGTTTATCCTACCTATTCTATAGATGCATTAGTTTCTGTGTTTATCCTACCTTGACAAGTTTCCATGAGACAGGGTGAGATTTAGAATCTTTAACCGGTATCAGACCTCCGCTTCGTACCTTAGTTACAGATTAATAAGGAACAGATCAAATTATATATTTATTTTTATTTATTTATGCGTTTTGTCAACATCCTCATTTTTATTGTTATTATCATCATTGTTATTATTGTTATTACTATCATTGTTATCAATAATATTATATGTTGGAAGATTAATAACTGAAATGATGAATATGTCATGTAATGAGAAATGATTAATGATGCCTATTTTTCCCTAATTTTGCAATTATTTTTTGTACAACTATATATTTGTAATTATTAAACCAATTTAAACTATACACCATCAATATATGTGCACGAAAAACTTTGTGTGTAAATAAATTTTAATAATTATTATTAATATTATTATTATGGTTATTATCATTATATATATACCTGAAGATCAAGACTGGGTTTATCTTTAATGATCGCTATGACCTCCTGATGTGTTCCTTGATCTACAGAAATACCATTCACCTAAACAAAGGGAAGGTTTACAGGGTTTCTGACAAAAATCCAAATGCTAAACTCCAAAGTTGAGTAATTAAAGGGACTGTCAAGGAAATTTTAATTCATTCTCTCTTTTAAGAGGGACATGTCCAATTCACAACGGTAGCCTTTAAAGGTAGTGTTCCCAAAAAATGAAAGGGGGTATAGGCTTAAGCAATAAAAAAGCGCTTTTGATCGCTACTAATCTTACTTCTATCTGTTGCGTCTATAAGGAGAAAATTGTTAAAAACGACTCATGCCAATGAACGTTCGTTGTGTCCATTCAAATTCAGAAAGATGCAACATTTAATTTGGATCGTAAACAAATCAATTTAATTCCAAACAAATCATTCAGATATTACAAACAATAGTCATAGTTGAAAGTTGATATTTCATAATATTTTGTATTTTTCATGATCTGAGAGTTTATTTGAAAACATTTATTCCTGTTTCGAAGATTTTTGCTAATGAAGACGACATTTTCAAATCTTCCCGGAATGTTCGAAAATCCAACGCCAGCGAAAATTATTTAAAAAAAAACAAAATCAAAAATATTATGAAATATTAACTATATACAAATGCGTCGAAAAATAATCGATGACTACTGTTTGTAATATCTGAATGATTTGTTTGGAATTAAATTGATTTGTTTACAATCCGAGTTAAATGTTGCATCTTTCTGAATTTGTATGGACGCTGCGTTCTTCGGTGTGAGTCGTTTTTAACAATTTTCTCCTTATAGACGCAACAGATAGAAGTTATATTAGATAGCGATTAAAAGCATTTAGTTGTGAATCTGGATTTTTAACAACAATCTTGCATTTCCGTTAGAATAAATCTTTCATATTAAATCATAATAGCGGTAAGAGCTTCGTCAAGAGTGACATATTACAGGGGTTGCATGATCTTGGTTTTGTAAGGCAGGGGATGGATAAATACAGTTAGAAGCTAACTGTATATTGTAACAATAACAAAATATTATTTTAAACTACATTTGCATTTATACCAATCATATGAATGTTAGGGAGAAAAATGCGCAAGAAAATTTGTAAAATTGTACGGATATGGATCTTAGATCAAGATTATCTAATGGTTCAGTGATATGATGAATTGATGATATCCTTTTTATCTTGTCTAGAAAATTAATTATTTTAAATTTTGGTTCTCTTCTTTAAAGAAGTAAATCGCGGTTTCATGCAAATGAGAGAATTTTTTTGAATTCCGCAAGGTTTAAGACAGAAAAACGATGATAAATTTTGCCCAATGCACGTGTAAATGTGTTAAGGATACCGTTGTGCGGACATAAAAATTAACATTAACATTAATTCTCACATTTACATGATGAGTAATGGATCCTGATTTAAATGTGAATATAATTATACAACATCTTCGCATACCACGTACGCTTGCGTCTTCCCTGAGAACATATCTGAGAATCCGCGGTTTTTAAACCAATCAAGGACAAAATTATGCTTTAACATTTTTTGCGGATTTAGTTCTGCTCCCGCCTTGAAGGCCATCTTAAATCTATTAAAGATAAAGGTTTCCGTGGAAACCGCCATTTTGGATTTTATAGAAAAACAGTTGACCAACTTCCGGGGAATATGTGTACTCAACTGCACATCTTCAACTTTAACGGGGGGGGGGGCATTTATTTTTGAGGTGAAGTAGACATGAAATCTTTACAGATTTTGTAAAATTACTATAGTTTGACCCAGAACTTTGATTAAATCTGAAAAATTTCTATAATGTCGTCTTGACATTATTTTAATGGGTTTTATACTATTATATCTAAATCTTAGTGTATAAATAGATAAACAAATAGCCATGAAATATTCGGGAACAGTTTTAAAGAGCTCCATGTAATCATTAAAAAACTAAATATTTTCAGCATTCCATTATCATTAGGTTAAGAAAACGACATTTTAGTTTTTCTTTTGAAGCCTTAAAAGTTTTGGGCTAAACCTTTCAAGATTTTTTTTGGGGTCCTCTTCCTGTTATTGGTATGCTTATTAGGGTTAAGAAGCGTTAAGGAGCAAAATCTGAATAGTTTTCGAGATTAAATAATATTATCCAGACGTTTATTTAGGGGAAACAATTTCATTTGAATCAAATTGTTAATGTTTCCAGAGGCCGAATTTAATGAATTTGAGCCGCGTCTCAAATCCCCCAAAAATCGGTTTCAATTGAGCGCCGACTTATATCTTGAAAAATTTAGTACAATTTTAAGTGGAACCAACCATATTTGAGCCCCGACTTAAATTTAAGCCGCGACTCAAATTCTTTAAATTCGGCCTCAGTTCATGTAGAGATGACAAATGGTTTAAAACTTGAAGTAAAAGTTTCAGGTTTTTCAAGATTTTGTTGCAAATCGCTTTTTCTGATTTACAAGTGTGACATGTTTTTCTGGTTTAGAATTTTAATGTTTAAATAAATTCAATATTTGGCGCACTGGTAGAAAGTAGAATATTTGGCGCACTGGTAGAAAATAGAATAAGAAAAAAGTCCAGCTGAAAGGAAGTGTAAGCTTTATTTCTCGTAATATTGGAAAGACTGGCATGTTCGATTTTAAACGACACTCTTTCAACATTTCATTGATAAGATATCTTACAGTGATAACCAGAAAACTATGAAATAGGAAGACGACTGTTAAGACTCAAGGTATGACTTTAAATAGTTAAATGAGCATAGTACATAGCAATTGTGAAGTGGAAACAGACCCATTTTATTTAATCAGTAATACATGTATAGTAATACTATTTGCGTTGTATCAACCTCAAATACCCTGAAGTTTTGCTATGAATTCGTCTTCCTATTTCAGAGCTTTCTGGTTATCACTGAAAATCAAAAACGTTCAATTGTGGTTTCTATATAAAAGAAGCTAATCTGACACGGTTAAGTAAAAACTTAACCTTAAACAGAATCTTTAGTATATTATGAACTGCACTGAAAGGACAATAATTCAATTTTGCGGATTTACCGGGGTTTTCTTGATGAAAAGAAAAAACGCTTCCAATTTTAAGATTGGAATGCATGAATTTGAATTCTACGTGTTTTTGGGGAAAGAAAAACACGATCCAAATCTTTAGTTTCATCTCCTATTCCTCAACTTGACGGGTTTGACCCTGCAACAGATGCTGAAATTGATACCGAGTCCACGTCTAATGAACCACCTCTAAATATCAAGAATCTCGTGTCTGATCCTGAATCTGAAGCTAAGTCCGATATATATATATATATATGAATCAGAATCTGAGAGATATTTAATAAATTTAAATTATATAAGTAATCATAAACTTATCTTAAACTTGAAATGCTATTCTTGTCTGAGATAATTAAACCCGATGTGATCTATAAATGTTTTAGCAATAATAAATATTTAAATATTAAAATTTTTTAAATTCTACCTTGAGAATTTGATCCCCCGTCCTTAGCCCTTGAAGAAGAGCCTCTGAACCTATCTCTACATGAGAAACATAAATACCCAGACCATGCTCTGCTCCTCCCCTGTACATCATTCATCATTCATTATTCATCATTCATTATTCATCATTCATCATTCATCATTCATCATTCATCATTCATCATTCAGCATTCATCATTCATCATTCATCATTCATCATTCATTATTCATCATTCATCATTCATCATTCATCATTCATCATTCATCATTTTCGTGAACGATGGTGTCGTTTAGAAAAATTAACGGTCGATGGATGAACGACTTGCATCGTTCAGAGAAATAAAAAATTGATCTTTTTAAGAACGAACGATCAAAAGAAAACAAAAATCGTTCGAACGATCTTGAAAAAACGATATTTTTTCCTGCACGAAAGAATTTTCCGAAAGATGTCAAAAAACGATTAATAATCTATGAATGTCTGAAAAAAAATGAATATGTTCCTGATATAGAAACCGAACCCCCCAACTTCAGGACGGATTAATCTGATCTTCTGAGTCTTCATCTTCTCTTTCATATCTAAATAAGGAATAAAATTAATCCAAAGAAATTCATAAAAATATTCAGAACTAAAAACTTCTGAAAATTGACTTAAAATCTTGAATTCAGGAATTGAGTCTGTCTGTATCTCAATATATCTATATATATATATATTAATATATATATATNAGAAGACATTGAAAACTATCCGCCAACTGTCATGTTTCGTGGGACACCCTGTAGAGTACCCTGGATATTCTATATATATAGCTCTTCGCTCATATATATTTATATTGTTATTATTAAGCATTAATAATCAAAGCAGTCTTAGTTTTTCAAATTTATAAATACAAATTGTTTCAGATTCTCGATCCTCATCAGGCAATAAACATGTTTAAACTGGTGTTTCACACCATATATTATAAATACATATATGTGTATATGTATGGTGATATTCTAAAAATATATTAAAATGTTTTAATTCGAAGCTGATTTTTTAAATATATTTTTATATATATATATGTTCGCTATAGCTAACTAAACTGTTTGACCGAAATGGCGGTTTTTTTTGATAAAACTCATGGGTACCCCAGGGGTAACATAGGCTAAAAAAAATTCAAAAGTCGATTTTAAAAAACATCCACGGGCAACGGTTAGCACTTGAGCTTGTATTTAATACTGACGCATCATTATTATTGTTTATCAAGTTATGTGACGCATAATTCTACACTGACCTGAAAGTGAGCTGAAACTATAATGAAACGACGAAATAAACGTTCTCTTACTTCCGGCCTAAGCTTCCGCCTACTTCCGGTAAATCTAGCAGACTTTTACCATGTCAGGGTTTTAGGGGTATATATATATATATATATTTGTACAGTCTGTTAGATTTTTGAAAATGCAGAAACAGTTGAACCAAATGGGACCTGACATGGCCTTATCCACTAAACCAGGAACGTCTAATAACTACAATGGGATCTATAAAACTATGGAATAGGAAGACGACTTTTGAGTCCAGTTTTGATTTGATTGATAGTTAAATGAACTATTCCACATGTGTTGTAAAAACATTTAAACCAAAAATTTCGAGTTTTTGTTTATTTCGATTTTTTCAAAGTTAAAAATCAATCTTATGTTTTAAATACAATGCTTATTTTGAAGAACCGTTGATAAGAATTAAATTGGGACATCAAAATATGTAACCAAAAAAATATGATTTTTTTCATTAAGATAATTATTATAATTATACCAATAATAATAATGATATCATTCTATTTCTGAATTTCTTATGGTTTAGCAAAATACTGCTAAATAAACCTGAAGCAAAGAAATATCGTATTAGCCAGCTTCAAACATTTATATTTTGATGCTACAACTAAGTGATTTTGTAAAGCGTCAAATTCTAAATTAGGTCTAAATAATTGAGGAATAATTTTCATAACTGCTGGATATATCTCCACGTAACAGAGTTACCAAGAGTAAACAAAAGAAGACATATTAAATGTTTAAAATATCAGTTGCAGAAGATTGTATGATATTATATGAACGGTTCTATTAAACGGTTCTTCATTATATTTCCTCAACATAATGAGTTAAGCGTGAGATCTTGCTAAATTATTTATTTCTTTACATCGCACTTATCTTGTAGAAAAGGGATAAAAGGATAATAACAAATTATAGTTGTTGACAAAACATTTTTGAATGATGGGAAGCTATACGTATCGTTGCCAGTGAAATTTTAAAAACACTAATGAAAAAAATCGGATTTTTTTTCTTTTTAAATCGATTCTTAGTTTATGTCATCCTTATAGGTTTCTTTAAAAAATTCTTCCGATATGGTCCATATGAGCCATATGAGCCATATGAGCAAAGAGCTTTATTATTTCAAGAACTGAGGGTGTAATAATTCAAGTAACCCAAATTTTTATACTTTACTTTTTATACAAATATATATTTTGCGTTGAATATCTGTGTGTAATTTTTTTATTACAAAATCTATTCTATGAAAATTTATGCTTTCCGCTTAAACAAAGATTGGTTAAATATTTAATTTAATAAATTTGAATCGGCAATAGGTAATTCAGCGACGTTGCTAAAATTCATAAAATTTGTTTCTTGGAAACTCTAAAAAAGCTCTACACTATACAGTTCCTGTAATAAAACAATTGTTTAACGTGTGTCACGGCATGTAAATATTAAATATTATTGTTTGTGAAGTTGAATAATGTAAAAACAAGTGTTAATTTCAACTAACCCGTCCTCTTTCACAAAGATCTAGACTGCTATAAAAAGGTGCATACATGTTCAAGACAGGGTCCACTTTGAAGTGTCGTAGCTTTTACCTCACTAACTCTTTTATATTTTTTGTAGCCCTAGATCTGTTCATTTTATAACTCTAAATCACTTTTTATCTTTAGTTGTAAAAATTTATTATCCAAAATCTCTTTTTTTGTTTGAAATTTCAACGTTTGGATCACTGTGCGTCCCCTCTATCCTGCCTGTTTGGATAGAATCGAGAACAATAGCTGGGCAAATCAGATTAAATCCTTTATTTCATAGATTTATAGAATTATACTTTTTCACATTCATAAAACAGTGGGACAGTGGGACTCAAAAAACAATGCTAAATGAGCCAGTTCAAACCAAAAATATTATAGAAAAATGTAAATTAAAATTTCTTGAATTGATTCCGTCTTATAACCTTCCTACCACACATGGGTGGAACACATGCACAAATGATTTGAAAAATTAGACAAGTTCGAAATCTTTTAAAACTTAATAAATTCTTTAATAGAGGCAAAATACTCTGAGTTTACTAAAAAATATGGAAATTCCTTTAGTCCAGACTATCAGTAAAGCACTGTAAAATGTTCTCTGTGTCTGCTGTTTAAAATCTTAAAGCACAACAATGTATGTATATTGTATATTGTATCAATGTATACCATAACCTATTCATGTGTACTGGGAATCACTAACCCTTATACAAAATTTACAAACCATGAGCTTTTAAAAATCATATTTGATTATGCTTGTATAAAATGCACATATTACACAACTTGAAAATCATGCGCTTAAAAATTTTCTCTGGTATCCATTTTTAATCATGATATCCCAAATTCCATGTTTCTTTAGATTAATTACAGAGTATGCAAACAATAAAAGAATAATTGATCTTTTCCTTAAACAGAGAGAGAAACTCTAAATCAATATCAAGACCTAGATTAAATCAAATTACAATCCTACCGATTTTCTTTTTTTTAAATAATATTTTCAATTCAATGATTTTAATCTCGTGAATAAATTTTAATTGTAAAGTAAACATGAATCAAAATCATTCCTGAAATTAGTCAACTTGAACCTAGCGTCCTACTGTGTTGGTTTAATGACACGTGACCTGTGCCGGACAGAAAAATCAGGAAATCCGGGAAATGTCGCCGGAGGGAAAATCCGTGAAATATTAAAACTTGAAATCTGAATGACATGGTCAAACATGGTCTATTAATATAAACTACAAAACTATAAAAGCTGTTAACCTTTGTCAAATTGTCTAAACTTTGTACTTTTTATCTTTAGATCTTTTTAAATTTTAAGAATTGTCATCAGTAGTTGAAAATAATTAAATCCTTTTCTTGTAACTGTAACTTGTAACTGTGAATTTGTAATTTAAAAGTTATCATAATTAGTTCATTATACACATATCTTGTTACTATTTAAATAAAAAAAACCTTTTCTTTTATCATTAATTTTAAACAAGATTGTAAAATCGTAATTTTATCATTCTTGAATCGTTTTTTTGTTGGATTTAAACACAGTTTCATGATTTTACCTTACCGTTTTCTTTATGCTTCGTCAAACACCAAAAATACATTTTAATCAGAAAACAATCACTTTCTTTAATTAATATTTTGGCTGCTTGTTATGTTCACTTTTTATTTTCAAAATTATATTTTTTCAAACATTATTACATAACATCAATTTCAGCCTGTTATAGCTTTTCAAATCTTTGCATTGTGCTGTAATATCCTTAATGGCTTTATGCTTTTAGCTTTGTCACGTGTAAACTGCAGATTTAAAGCGCTAAAAATCAGGATGTCCAAAAAAAAATACACGTCTTAAAAAATTGTAAAGGCGTTTACAAAAAAAGGTTTTATCTAAAACGCCGAATTCTTAGTTTTCTCTAAATGAAATTGGTCCTTGTAAGGTCTGAATTCGAATCTAAATCTGAATCTAAACCAAATTTAAAATCTAAATCTGAATTTAAATGTAAATTTGAATTTAAATCTGAATCTGAATCTGAATCTGAATCTAAATCTAAATCTTAATCTTGATCTGAATCTGAATTTAAATCATAATATAAATCTGAATCTGAATCTGAATCTGAATCTAAATCTAAATCTGAATCTTGATCTGAATCTGAATCTAAATCTGAATCTAAATCTGAATCTTGATCTAAATCTGAATTTAAATCATAATATAAATCATAATATTAATCTGAATCTAAATCTGAATTTAAATCTGAATCTAAATCTTGAACTAAATCTGAATTTAAATCATAATATAAATCTGAATCTGAATCTGAATCTAAATTTAAATCTGAATCTAAATCTGAATCTTGATCTAAATCTGAATTAAAAATCATAATATAAATCATAATATAAATCTGAATCTAAATAAATCCGTCTCAGTTGTGAACTATTTAGTTCTACTGGTGTCAAATTTCCTAAAACATTGATCGGTCTTGTCTTCCGACACTTCTACCTTGTACTTCTAGCCATGCAGCACATGTTAAGGGTGAACCAGAAAATAAACATTTTATCTATATAATAAAGCTCTTCGTTCATATATATGCATAATTGTTGACCTTTAAAAAAGTCAAAAATATTCTAATAAAGAAATCAGAAAAAACCAAATATTCTATAACATTTATTTAAGAAAAATAATATTGTTTTGAAATATTTGACCAAGACACAAAGATTGTAAATTGGTTGGTTTAGAAATTAATAAAGGAAAAAGACAGACATCAGCAGCAACTTCATGTTGGTAATGTATAACTTCATATTGGTGGTGCAGATCAACTAACGGGAGCTAGGGTGAGTGGGGATTTGACATGTGTGGTGTGTTGTATCGCGGAAAAGGATCCTGAGTACACACACATCCAGAGAATTAAAATCGGCATTTGAGTCGGTGAAATCGTCTTCCTTATATTTCGAATTTATTTTAACAATAATGCATATATGTTAGCTATACGGTTTAGGACCAGATTGGCTGACATAGTTTTCTTCAAAATTCAATTTTTTCAAATTCAAAGTTTTTTCTTTCTTAATCAGACTAAGATTCTGATTTTAAATAAAATTTAGATTTAGATTTAATTTAGATGTAGATTTAGATTTAGATATAGATAAAGATAAAGATATAAATATAGATTCATATATAAATATAGATTGAGATTCAGATATCGATCTAGATTGAGATTCAGATATCGATCTAGATTCAGATTCAGATATAAATATAGATTCAGATTCAGATAAAGATCCAGATTCAGATTCAGATATAGATCCAGATTCAGATTAAGATTTAAGTTTAGATTAACATTTACATTCATATTCAGATTTAAAATCAGATTCAGATCTTGATTCAGATTCAATTAAATTTTGACCAGATAATGATTAAAACGTAGATTCAGATTCAGATTTATATTTCTAAACTCCAGTTTCCAATTCCGTAAATTGTGGGAATAATAATTTAAATGAAAATTTGACAACTCGGAAATCGAAATAAATATTTTCATTATAAATATTTGTAGACTGACCTGCGCTGTGGCTAGACCTATTTCAGTAAATAGATTTTAACGCGCGTTCTCCCTCACACGAGTCGATTAGTATCACGCATTATGCACTCCGAATTTAACCGTATAATCAAGAAATCTGAAATCTGAAAATAAATCACAATGCAGCACTCGAAGATACAAAAATAATAATCTGGAATCTTTAAAACCCGTTTTTTTCACTTTTTTCTCTTGTTGGTTTAGCTAGTCTTCATTTTCGAATTGCTATAAACAACTAGCATTACACAACTCTTTTTAGAAGAATTTTTGAAAAGTTTTTCTTTCCAAAATTAGACAAATTTTGGTCGTTTTCTTCAATTTTTTGTTTGTTTTAAAAACAACCCCATGAGCTTGTTGGCTAAAAGGGCACGGCCAAAATCTTGTCTATTTCTATATATTATGTTCTGACCATCGTATCTTATTAAATAAATAAAAATATGGGATTTGTAATTATGTTATGCATTAAATTTGACACTCGTAGAAAATAAGTATTCACAAAAAATTAAATCACTTAAAACGACAGAGCACTTGCATTAAATCGAGCGATATCACTTATTTCTATGATGAACCATGTTACATGAAGCATGAGAGATATCTCTACTCAGATCTGAAATCAGGAAGGACAGGTGTTACCCCTGCTACCGTCCGAATACAACTGAACTACGCTCCGCTTCTAACCGTTCCACTTTATCACATGCAATAGATTTTTAATATGTATTCAACTTTCATTAAAGTAATGTGTATTAAAAAACGATATTATTTACACATAATCGTCATTTTTTACATTAGAATAATTTATTTTGTTTATCGTTTTCATTGTTCATCATAAAAACAATGTTAACATGATAATGCATGCAAAAAGTATAGTTTTATTTTATTTTATAATTTCACGCTTTCCATTTTTAATTCGATCCGAGTTGCATTGAATAAAAACAATAACAAATATCTTTATTTGAATTTCCTGCATATTCTTTTGCCTTTTATGATTAAAACAATATTTTACGGATCTTCTACTCCAAATTTAACTTTCTATTTATAAATAAAGTCCATATAATTAAATCTATTCGATATTTAAACAAAACATTTAAATGAACCATTTAGAGTTCACAGAAAATCTTTAAATAAAATTTTTCAATGTGACAGTTTATTTTTTTATCCTGTAAAAACGCAATTTTACAATATTTACAATTTTATCGGTTGATATGAAATAAATTATTTACGCTTTAAAATTAGTTTAAATTACACATGAAGAGCGTATTTACATAAAACACAGATTATGTAGATACGATCGAGTTATAATACATAATTAGAGATAAAAATTTCAAAACCCAAATTTTTTTCTTGTTCTTTCTGTGCAATGCTAAACGAATCAGTGTGTTCTTGTCTTATCTTTGTAATCTGTAACAAATTTTTACCTGTTCTATCTTTATATTCTGTAACAAAACAATTCTTTCTTACTATATCTCTGTAATCTTTAACAAAACAATGTTTCTTGTTCTACCTCTGTAATCTATGAATAAACAATGTTTTTTTTTCTTGTCCCTGTAATCTGTGACTAAAAAATGTTTTTCTGTCTTATCTATTCTGTACCAAAACAATGTTTTCTTGTATTATCTCTGTTATCTGAAACAAAACAATTTTACTTGTTCTATCTTTGTAATCTGTAACAAAATAACAAGTTCTTGTCTTATCAATATAAATCTGTAATTAAACATTGTTTTTTTGTCCTATCTGTTCAGTCTGTGAACAGCTAAGTTCACATGTAGAATTGCAACTAATTAATCCTATATGTGTGAACTTAAGCAAGGTTCCTCTCAAAGTCTATGACTAAATAGTGAACAGTTTACATAAACACGCTTATAGGAATTTACTAATTGTAAATATTTATTATTTATTTTAGGATTTAGAATAGTTTTGTGTCAATGGTGAAAACTTTAGATTTAGAATTGATTTTGGTCGCAGATCCAAGAGAACTTTCAAGCAAAGAAAATGTACATTGCCAAAACAATGCAATATTTCTACTGGAAAAAAATGGAAACATTTTTCCGGACTTCTAAATTCTAAATGGAGTCTTTTTGCAATTAACTATAAAGATAGTTTATGGAACGCGAATGAATTATTTTCTCTGTAATCACCCAAGAGCCATGACAGCTAGTAAATGGAACGCTATGGAACTAGTAAATTTGTTGTTACCTTTGACAGCTATTTTATATGGAAATCTAAGGAACTAGTTTCTCTGTAATCACCAAACAGCCATGTAAGCTATAGTAAATAGAATGATATGGAACTAGTAACTTGGTTGTTTCCCATGACAGCTATTTTATATGGAACTCTAAGGAACTAGTTTCTCTGGAATCAATCAATAAATCAATACTGGTGGTTTATAGAGAACGCGTAGGAACTAGTTTCTATTTCATCTATCGAGAAAAGTGGATTGTGAAACGCTATATAACTAGTTTCCCTGTGACCAATGATAAAAGGCCTGTTTATGGAACAACAAGGAACTAGTTTTTTGGACTCAAACATGATTCAGCTATTTTTTGGAACACTTAGCACTAATGAACTGGATACATTTTTGAGGATTTCTGCTCATTATTTGTGAATTTTTCACTTTTACTTAATCATTAAACCTTTAATTTCAGGACAATTTGTCTCAGGTTTAAGGTTATAATTTATTTTTCTTGTTTGAACCGAAAATGCGTGAAATAAATTTTGTGTAAACAATATGGCTCATAGACACAGTGAATTGCTAAAAATATGAAAATACATCTTGGAATATTATTGAACTTCAAATTTATTCTTTATTAGAGAAACTTAACACAAAGAAAGAAAAAGGAGGAGAAAATGGTTTTTATTTTATTGTTAACTGTATTTCAGAGTATTTTCTTAAAATATATGTCGACTTTATGGGAACCAAGCTTTGTCTGGAAATATATATAAATCGACCAACTCAACTTAGAACTTTTCCGTAGCTTTAAAAAGTTTCCCAGTCAAAATTTGAATTTTATCGGTTAAGATGCCAAATAAAATGTAATTTTTCATGTTTACTTTGATATGAGTAGGGTTGAAATGGTTAGGATGGAGTTGATGAACATCCATCAAATAGGGACATTTTTCATACTCAGCCTAGATACTTTAATACTTTAAGAGTACACTTACACCAATTTAACAAGAAAACTTATGAAATTATTTTTTTTAAAAATGACGAAACTAGTTTGCAGGGTTTGTAAAATTATGAAGAAATTCTGACAAATAAAAATGTTTAAATGCTTATACAAAGAAACATACTTTACTTGAAAGAAAAGAAATGATATTTTAACATCTATGGAATAGAATTATGTCACTTATGTAGATTTGAGTTAAACTACAGTGAAACCCTTGATAACGAATTTACATCGAAAGCTAATTCATCAAATGTCGTATTCTTCACTTTCTGATAATGGAATGTTGCAGATATTTAGTTTTTTAATTAAATGATTATATGGAATTCTTTAAAACGGTTCCCGCATATTCATGGCTATTTTTTTATTTTCGCAAATACTGAAATTTACGTAATATAGTATAAAACTCATTGAAAAATTGTCAAGATGACATTTGATAAATTCTTCCGATGTATTCGTTATTAAGGGTTTCACTGTA